ATAAGAATATGGGTGTAGGACTTGTTCAAAGCAAACTGAAAAACATGGTTCAGTTTGCAATCCATTTCCGACGTTGAGTTTGGTGGGCGGTAAACCACGGCTAGTAGACATGTGTTCTTGTTTCGCAACCATAAGCGACACCAAAGCGAATCAGGAGCTTGGATTTCGGGGTGATGGATGATTTCATATCGGAGATTTGCATTATAATAAAGAATCACACCACCCCCCCTTCAGGTTCTATGGTTCCGAAGCAGCGGCATACCGGGTAAATTGATCTCAGAATACGTTATATCAGGTCACTGTAATTATGACTAGGTCCCGAGGTTGTGAGGCTTGGAGTTCTCTAATTTCGGCCAACTTACTTAGGAGGCCATGGGCGTTTGTGTACATACAAGATAGAGCTTTTGTTGTTAGGGGTGCGTTGATGAATGTCAACTTTGAGTTAGTTTTTAAGCTGGCCGGCCATTAATGGATTTTTGGTTTATGAATTTCAGTCAAGTTGTATAGCATTATTGAGCGTTCCTGAATAGACGTTTCACTCGTGCTGCGCTGTGTCCTGTTGTGTGCCGTGGGCGCTGTTGTGTTGTTCTCTCCACAGGACAAGAATTTGCAGCGTTTGCAAGTTCCATCGAATTGCTTCTGACTTTTGGTCGTTCGCCTTCTGCCTTTAGCCGGATCTCTGTTGGCTACCTAGCTCGAAACTTTAACCAGCTATCCAACAGAACTTGCGTCATTCCCTCGGAGTGTAATAATACTTTCATTAGTCTTGGAGCGCAGCCCTTGTAGTTAGGTGATGACGGAACTTTTATCAGGGACTTGGCAATAAAATTATTAACAGAAAGTGCTTCGCGGATGTAGCACCACTGCTCTCGGTCACGTGTTTGTGCATCGTGATCAGAAGGATGCAGAAGCTCGGGAACACCAAGAAGAAATATTGCTTTCTTGCTATCCCTATTAGGAATGCCGCATTGCTCAACTGCTTTTTATGGGCGATCTTTCCAAGGTAGATCAGGTAATATGCGCACTCCACTCGGTGAGTTGCGAAGATGAACTGCTGAAAGCAGGACAGGCTCTGTCTCATCGGTTGAGTCCAGTGTTACTAGAAGAATCCGAGATTCACCAAAGTGCACTGAGATCGGGTGACGCGCTACGTGTTGCAGGCACAACCCGAATGTTAATTGCCTCGCAGATGGAACTCCACTGGTTGCGATCGTCTTGCAACTTGCCTTTTATTGTGCCAAATTTGGACTCAGAAACATTGGTGCACCCGAGAGTTAACGCAGCATGGTTTTATCTAGCGAGTGCTGGCTTTATAGTTTTGCCGGCAATTCGGGTTGTTTAGAAGGCACAACTGGAGTTGACGGTGAAAGCTACTTTGCGCCACGCGTGCTCGGTACTGAAGATAGACCTGTGTGTCGCTCCCGGTGTGTTTGTCGAGACAATCGATACGTACGTTACCTGCTTGTTATCTGCACCGGGCTATCGTTGTCATGGCTGTATCTCCAGGTGAAGCGTCTATGGTTGGAGGAGTGGAAGCAGGCATGTTTAAGGCTTGTCCACTTATGGGAGTGAGGTGACCCAGTGGATTTAGTCACAGACGCTGCAGTGCGGTTGGAGTGTCTAGCTCTCTTCTTCGGCTTAGATTCGGAGCTTACTTTGGATGAGTGAGGTATTCGCGTGGCCATATTTACCTCCGTGGGATCGATCATAGTAGTTACACAATGCGTGGTTATAGTCATCCTATCGCACTTTTTCATGAGCAAAGATAAACAGTTGACAACTGGAATGACTTGACATGTTGGGCAAAAGCAAATTGTATCAGCAACTTGGTTTGTCTGTCTCATGTCTTAGACGGAGTTACCTACACATTGTAGACAGTACGATCTAATCCAGCTAGAACAGGTTACACTGATCTTAAGGACTTTACTGCAATTGTCCGCGCAACAAAGGCGACGTTGAACCATTGGAATGCTAGTCGTCCTCTTATCGTTTACAGTGAGGTCTATCTAAGCGCTAACCTTGAGGAGTGTTCATTGCGCCAGGCGTGACGCACAAACACGCACACGAATTGAGAGTTGTTCAACCGCACCAAGGTCAGGCGGTAGAGGTAGATGGAGGTGGTAACGTGCAGACTGTCGGGTTCAGCGATCAATCGACTCGCGGTTGAATACACATGCAAAGCGGCAGCGTGTGCAAATCGGCCTGCCTTAAGCGACGATGCAGGTGGAGCGCTGATAAGCGTCCCGAGAGCTGCTCAGATGATGAGCGTAGCAAAAGGGCTGTAATTTTGTTATGTTGCAACTTGCAGGAATGGTTGCCGCGTAGTTGGGGAGCCCTCAGCTTCTTCTTCCGAATGAGACCAAAATCTTTTCCGAAAGACCGGTTTGATGTAGTTAGACAAGTGGAACTCCGCAAAGAATATGCCGAAAACTGGAGCAAGAGTATGATCCACACAGATTAGATCCAAGATTTGGGAAGCACTGAGTAGCGATCGTCGAATTGGTTCGAATGAGCGGACACACAATGTTGTGTGGGGAGAATTAGAGTGGCCACAGAGGGCAAAGCGAGAGCCGAGTTAAAGTGCGGCCGCACGGCGTTTACACAAACGGAGTGACACTCAGATCGATCCTCGCAATGGTAAATGCGTCACAAGATAAACTAGCTCGCTGGTTATTGAAAGTGCCGTCCCCGTTAAGAGAACGATTTAATCCCCACGGCTTCCGAGATGTGTTTGAACTGATAGAAGATCTCGACAAGATGGACCTGTCCAATAAAGTGGTGTTCTTTGGATGTAGAATCGTTGCTAAAATATGGAGAGTAGTTCGCTCAGCATCCGACCGTGTCTATCTTCAGAATGATCTGGCTCGGATTAACGAATAGGCAGAAGCGAACCAGGTCCCACGGAAGCCTGTAAAGTGCCACCTGCTGACGGTGCGCAGCAGCTTCGTCAACACATACCTTTTGGAGCAACACGTGACTAGTGAACGCGACTTAGGTATAATCGTGCAGAAGTCTTGGCAATTCGTTCCAATGTTCGAAAGCAACAAGTGTGGCGAACTTGATCTTTTGAGACGAGCTCTCGGTGACGGATACTACCAATGTGGATTAAACCCTACATTCACCCTCATGTTGAATATGCAATTCAAACCTCGTCTCCATGGTTAAAACGAGATATTCACCTGTTGGAACAACCCCAAAGAAGAGCCACAAAGGCAACGCGTGGACTATCCGGTCTAAGTTACGAACTGCGTGTTCGTGTACTTAGTGTGTTCTCATTAGAATACCGACGGCTTCGCGGAGATCTTACTCTCACATACCGGATATTAACCGAAAGCGAGCATCCATGTACATCACTGTTGACTCTAGCCCCATACGAACAAAACCGAGGCAACCACCTGAAACTAATGATGCAACACTCCCGTCTGAATTAAAAAAAGAATTTTTTCTCACTTAGAATCTGTTCTCACTGGAATGCATTACCAAACTATGTGGTGAACGCACCAGACATGACGACATTCGAAAGACGCTTAGATTTTCATCTTAGTGATAAACGTTACATAACAGTTTGATAAAGTGCAATGGTTTAACCACTGATACTTCACGTTCCACATTGGAACATGTTGATTTTAATTTCCTCTTGCGTATTCATTCTGTTGGTATTGTAGAGTTATGCTTTTTACCCTATCATACACTATTGAAAACTAATTGTCAGACTCGGCGAGCAGTCCTCCCGAACTGCCAGAGTTGCGGGTCATTTTGAGCATCAGCTCGTGCCGGATTTTGCCGACAGTAATGGGTTCAGGACAACCAAGTAACAATGCTGACACCCGGTCAGCAGAATTATTTTAGAGTGTACGGTTCAGTGTCTACGCTGACCTGAATGACAGTGAATTGGTTGTTCATATTTCTCAGCGAGGTTCCTTTCAGACCCGTGCGTCGCCTGAATTGGGCCAGTGATAGTGCAGCCCTACCCCTAGATGCTATCTGTCAACTCTAAAACGGCTGGTCGAGTGCAACCTCGGCGTTACCGATACACCAAATCTGACTGACCTATGGGGACCACCTTCAGTCATAATTATTGAAGCTAAGTAAATCCCACCAATATTTGGAGACCTAAGGCTGGGCGGACAAGTGGTTACATGGGATGTGTTTTGCTTGGAACACTGGAGGTCATTCCAATCAATAGTAGGTTCATCTACCGCGTTTGTTAGTGAAAGCTGACGATGGAATGCGGAATGATGTTAATACCTAACGGACTGTGAGCACCTTCGAAGATGGGAATCTTGTCGAAGTCGGAAGTATGGGCCCTAGGTGTGCGTGACCAGAATCAATGGAAGTGTTCCAGTGCAACCGATGAGTACCATATATGGTTGATGGTAATGTGGTCAATCTGGGTCCAGGACAGCCTTCGTTCTGTGGCCACAAGGTAACTGAATGTGAACGGTTGTGCAGAAAAGTTGACTAAGTTGTGTATGGTACGCACCTAAGGAAAGTGGCTATAATTACCTGTACGAAAAACATCAGCCAAAAAACGGCTAGCAGGATAGGGTAATAAGTTCGATGGCTGATCGAACCGAGCATTTATAGCCATCGCAGAGAACACGATATCCAGAAACTTAGCCATCCAGAGGAGCTTATTACAGAATTGATGTTCGGCGACTTCTTAGTTGCAGTCTATGCGAGAGCAGATGGAAAAATGAAGAGGACACTGCATATTCGACCACTGGTTAGGAAGTTCAAAGGACTTTCGTAATAGAATGATACACATGGTGACATTACGTATTTGCTGAAATTTCGACGGTGTACATATCCCTGGTTATTGGATCGATGTAACGAGAAAAGCGAGTTGCGCAAGCTGTCACTGGATCCCGAACCCAACAACCGAAAGTACATTAAAATGCCAACTCCTCCGGAAGTAGTGGGCTTGAAGCATCGGCGGATCAGAAACTGTGTGGGCACTGGAACGTCTTAGAACGGAACAGTACTCTATGATTGAAGAATCATGTGGTAGATGAATTCAAGGGTGTCATCCTCTCATACTGACCAGGCGCTAACATGAGGAGGGGAAGAAGGCGAGCAGGAAGGATTTCTAGTGATGTGCCTTTCGAAACGGACGGTTGTCTCTGGTGGCCAATTAGGAGAAAGGAGTTCTGTTCGAAAGTAGATATCTCCAGTTCAACTCGCAAGGCTGTGGACATAGCCAAATAGAAGTGACCTCTGAATCCTGTTTGCACAGGCCGACCGAATACGACTGTGAGGTTTTCGAAGGCGGCGCGGACAACCGTAGATGAGTTTTGGCTGGTTTGAGTCATAAGAAGCAGGTGCTATTTGATATACTAGTGAGTAATAGAGGCACAGCGACATTCGTGCACTTTTGAGTTTGTGCTAGGTTTACTATCCTAAACTGCTGTCAAGCGAGCAACGCGTGCAAGATTCAACCTCCGCAAAGGAGAACTTAATCAAATTGATTGACATTAGGAGACGCCCACCGCAGTCGAGGAATGAGCTCATATGGGAACACAAATTAAAAACGTTGAGAAGGGACGTCGCCGAACGGTTTCACCATAACTGTCGGCCGGTGGCCGCGTGATATGCGCACCTGGTTTGCAACCATAAGGTCACCGGTTCGAATCCTCGTAGGGGTGGGCGTCCTCACGGTATACACAGCCCACGCGCGACTGGTGGCGGTCGCGCGGTAGCGAAGCGCCATTGCGGCGTACAGCTGACACACTACACTTCACCGTAACTACCTATTCGACTGTGAGCATTATTTTGACCACTCATACAACTGCTTCCACCCGCCGCAGTCGATAAGCGAAGCCTGAACGTGAAGAAGTTGCCAAAAGAGCATGTTAAAGGCATCACCACCGATCATCAAAGTGAGATAAACTAAAGCGGTGTCATGAAATTAAACGGTTAGCACAAGGCAGACAAAACTGGCACTCACAAAGAAATATAACTGCATGTACAAAAAGAAGGCACAATAAGAAGTGGCAAAAAGCATCATCAATGTCGCGTCAAAGTGATGATCCGGGACCACTCAGTAAGTAATCAGATGATAAGTGAAAAGAGAACCCAATTAGAAATAAACTGAAAAATAATCGAACGTTCAATGACGTCACACCGACTAGAATTTCATCGTGGGGCATGGAGATCAACCAGAGCAACTACAGGTTTATTCCGGAGGGTTCGGAGAGTAGAATGAATCTATCAATTGAAACAAAGTGGCCACTGTTCCGCCGAGAAAAGCGCCCAAACCAATCGCGATGATGATCACGTGCTTTGCAAACACACGAAACCAAAAGCCCGGAATTTGAGCGCGCTGCTCCCACAAGTGAACTATCTCCAACACGGGAGGCAGAATAAGGGCCAACACAGAACTGGCGAATGCGCCGATCAAGGAGATCATCAACTCCAACTTTGGTATTGTAATAACGGCCAAACCTGTGAGTGTACACAATTGGACAATGACAGAGTGTCAGGAGGCGATATTTCGCGAAGTATATGTACAACGTTCGAAACCTAAAAGACAGCTAGCCAACGTGGCGACGCGTGAAGAATGCAAATCATATAAATGTCTATAAAGGATTATCTGATGGGCAGAATAAGCCATGATTCTCAAATCATCAATGAGGTACGCTGAAGATTCCAGAACTGTCATCATGCTCTCAGTAGTCAAGCAAGCACGATTATGAGGCGGTTGGTATGAAGGTGACAAACCTAGAAAAAGTGTTAATGGTTGACAGAGCCAACTCCCGAGATGTCACAGTGGATGCCGTAAACTGAGTGGTAGTTGGACAGTTGAGTGAAAAATATTCCGAAAGTGAATCTGAACAGTTGTCTATTGTAGGCGATAAGGTTAGGCTAAAAGTATAGTCCTAGATACCAGCAAAAAACTTGCTAAAGTCCTTTCGTTTTAATGTACGCAAAATTTGATGTGACCATGTAAATGGGGCAGTGATAGACGAATCGAATAACTTGATGGCTTAATCGTGGAAAATGGGAATGAGCAGTGTCCATACAGCACGCCCGCAAGCGAAGAAGGATGGAATCATCCGGAAAGGGAATGAGGCGACATCTTCGATGTAGCCTAAAGACAGCGTTCGGTATCGCGTGCGTTTTAACAAAGGCTTTCAGTAAAGTACACAATATATCAACTGAGGAGGATAATGGACCTAATGCCCTCGTAAGGGAAGCGTTGAAAGAGGGAGCAATGCATACTTATAAAAAGTGTCACAGCGGAACTGTGCCTGTCCCCATGTTGCTAGTACTCTTCGTGAGAGAACGACGCATGCGACTGCAATAATCGAAGGACCAGTTTTCTTCGTGGCATGTATCATCATAATCACAATCAACAACAGTACACTACCAGTTTGAACGAGGATAAGTTGAAGATAAACCAAAACACCATAAAGCAAGCAATCAGGATCAAGGTACCCCCACGTCTGTCAACACTACATGGTTACCGACTGGCTATTGTGCCTCAATAGAGACAACACTGAGAAACCTTGCCTACTGTTCTCACTACCCAAGGATATAATCAAACCCGTCCTATAGCTTAATCAGCACAGGACACAATATGAAGACGTAATCCGGCTAGATGAGGATAGACGCGTTAGGAACGCCTTCTTTCCGTTACATTTGCAACAACCGAGATCAAGGGCGACGTGAGCGGCGTGGACCTAAACCTCCTAGGCGATATGGACCAGAAGCAGGTAGTTGAGTCCCCAGCGGCTTCGTTCCCCGCCCCATCGATGTTATCAGACTGAGCAACATAATTAGTGTAAACCTCCAGAGAAATTCGCGTAGTCTGGTAATGAAATGTCTGTAGCCAAAACACCTTCATCCACACCCCGAATTACAAACATTCAATAATTGCCGCAAGGAGTTAAGGACTGGTGTTCAAGACCTTGTCTGTATCTTAACATTATCAACTAATTTCGTTTTACGTAAGTCAGTAGGTTCTAAACTGAACGATAGTGTGAATTTAAAAGATTTCCGTGATCAGTTAGAACAAAAAACTTCAAAAAATCAATGAGATCGCTTGACAACCTATGGAAGTGAACAAATCTGGACTTAGCCAGAGGGTTAGCAAAATACTGATAAATAAAAGTTCACCTGTTCAGGGTTATCTAGCAGGGCGTATAGGCTTGGCCCAGTGGAAAGTTGACCAATGTGACGGAATTTAATACGCAGTCGAATACAAACAACATCTTAAAGTACAAGTTTGAATTTGCACGAGTTCGAACAGAAGAGAAGCACGTGACATGGCGCAGACGGTGAAACATTTTCGAGAGGATACAACATGTTCTTGATGCTTGTGAGGAAGTATGTTTTCAGTATTTGACACATAATTGTAAATAAAGTTTCAAACGCAACAAAATGCAAGGGCAGATATCAAGTGATCGGGACGACGGGCCAGCTTGGCAGTGAGGCGGTTATTCGTGCAGAGAAACGCTATCAAGAGTATGCGAGACTGGATCAAATTCTCAAACATTTCGTGCTTAGAATTCAAAAGCCAGCGATCAGACAAAAGAACAGGCAAAATTATATTCGCTTCAGTAACGAGGACCTGTATCTTGGTTAACAAGGTAACGCAGGACCGACGTCAAATTATTTTCGATGAGCGGATGTGACTTATTTCGAGGTAATGAAAGTGTCAAATTGAGAAAAGCCATTTTTCTCGCATACTGAACCGAGAAAACATTTTTCACAGCGAATCGCAGTCCAAAATGAGACTGTGTTGCAGTCCAGTACACAATGAGTAGCTCAGACAAAATTAACAGTGAGACGCAGTATCTTAATGTACACCTGAAACCCATCGCCAACTCATGGTGGTGAACCATATTGAGCGGTCACCGAGACCAGAAAGTGTGTAGCAAGATACCGTTTTGGCCACAATTTTTGAACAGGGGTTGAAATGACAAACAGTGTATTGTTCAGTATTGGGGAGTACCGAAGGAGCGTTCGGATTGTGAGGCGTATTCGCGATTAAGACTAGTGTTTACCTTGAAGTAAAGTTGGACCACTTCGATCCTTGGCACAGCATCCGAAGTTGCGAGCCACGGTGTTGCCCACCACCAAAAATGCACTACACGAGCAGTTCCAACCTGGTACGGACTCTTCACATAGAAATGGCGGGAGCTGGGAGTGTCATCATGGACGTTGTGACTGAAGATTTACTAGGTCGCTTATGCTCCGCTAGTTGGTCCTCCGAACTCTAACCATAAATTTCTAAAAGCTGTGTCAAGCGTTGTTCATAAAGCTCAATCATTTAGTGATCAAGGTGTCAGGAGTCAATCACTTCATGCCGAACTCAACTTCCAGTTTCGACTGTCCCCATCTGAAGGGTCAAAACAAGGATGAAACGCTCAACCTTCAGTTTAAGTGGTTGATCGACTATTGTGCTACAGAAAACACATAATCAGTGCAGCAATAGCGTGAGGCGGTTACTTAGTCGGCGGACTTGTTTAAAGGCAGTGTTTTATGGTATTTACCACTAGAGAAGTGGCAATTTGTGCGCATGAGGTGGGGACAATTAGGTAGCAATAGAACACGAACCCGATTTTTTACTGGACCGAAGGTGTACATGTGCGAGTGTAGGCGTATACCATGTTGTTAGACAAGGGGAATCTAGGACAAATGACAAGTGGGACAAATATTTGAGATCAATGATGAGATCTGGTTACAAAACGAAGAAACGCTGGTATCTCGCGAGATAGTTTATTTACATAACGGAGCAGTAGCGGCTATGATCTAATACGCGCCAGTTCCAAAGCGTCTTGGGCATAACAGACACCCAGTTTCGAGTAGCAAGCAAGAGGTTAACAAGTACTACGTAACCAAATGATAATATGAACTAAAGATTGACGAAACAATCAGTACATACTCCAAAACTTCGCTGACCAGAAAGGCGAGAGAAAAGTCGAATTAAGTTAAATAGCTAGCACATAAGGAGGACAAGAGACTTAAGCGATCGGCATGCCTGATGGCAGAAAAAGAATTCGAAATCAACGCGTGTATCAACTCAGAGTCAACAATAAGCCAGGTGCCGGTTCGAATGAATCAGTGTGATCGATCTGGTATAAGTGCAATTATTTTAAAAATTGTGGGAAGAAGAGGAAGTATAACTGTGTAATACCCTAACAGAGAACAATGAAGCACCCTATGTAAGGTAGCTGTAATGATAAATGTAACGCAGACAAGCAAACAGAAGTAGAAATCCAATTCCACAGAGAGTGGAGAACGTCGAGCGCAAGTGACAAAATGCTCCGCTTTCGAGACACTGGCTGTCTAACAGAGTGCCGTAGAATATTCGAAATCACTGATGACTTCTAGAAAAGGAAACAACCAGGGCTGTGCATGCGAAGTAGCCCACAGAAAGGTAAGGCAGCGGAAGTAGCCTAGCGTGATGACGAAAGATTACCAGACCTATGACTCAAGCAGCACCAAGTATGCGGGTCGAATGAGATCAGTTATTATGGGTCTTTCACCTGCACATAGTGCTGTCGCAACGCAGTGGCTCAATGACGAACAGGGAAAGGACAAGTAGTCACGCCAAGTGCAGTAAACTGATGAAAAGAAAGGGTACAAACTTAAAAAAGTTCGATAGTGATAATTCCATCTCTATCCAAAGAAATAACAGGCAGAACAATAAAAAGAGACATGCCAGTACCAGTGTAAGAAAGGATCGAGGGTTGGACACGAAATAGAAGTTGGAAAGACTAAGTGATCGTCACGTTACGGAGTGTTTAGTTGGGACACCCAAAGGTCAATTCTGAGGGAGAATCTGTAACGAAGACTCAAAGAAGAAATAGGATATAAACACAAACGCTACCTACTTCCTAGCTGGGCGCAATTCGAACGTTGACATATACACCATCCAAAAATGGCTTCATTCGTTTCTACAGTGGGGGTTGCATTTCAGCTGCAACGTGTATGAGGTTCGGGAAGCTGAGGCAAAGCGAACAATAGACACGCAATGCAGCCGTGGGTCGATAGCTCATGTATTCAAAGCAGTTAAAGTGTCATATGGCAAACTATTAGTCCTAATTGTCCCTGGATCTGAAAATGGGTTTTCATTTATTTTTTGAGTCAAATAAACCATTCCAGATGACAGAAACGCGCGATTTTCGGATGATGCAAACTCTACCGAGCAGCTAAACAAAGCCACCAGGATAGGTCGAAGGAAGCAGCTTTGGGTGACGAGTTGAGAAGATGCTGGGTTGAGGCGATATCATGTGTGGCAGTACCAATCACAGTACCAATACCCCAATATATTTCGTACGTATAAAGGGGATGATAGGAAGTCATGAAAGTGACCGTGAACCGAAAACACAAAGTTAAAAGCATGTTTAACTTTTAAAGTTCAAGCAAAAAATCCCCGACACAAAGAAGCATCGAATTGTGGGTACGTATGTGCCAAATGAGTTCTCAGCAGAAAACACGAGGACGTAAGATTCTTAAGGACAGGAGATAAAAACGTGTCCACCATTGTAGACTGCTCACGAAGAAGCGTGCGCAAGACACTAGACTTTAGATAAAATTGTTATGTGACCCCCCATCGGGGACTTTGATATCAACTCTACAGCGCTGCACCGAGCAGTGAACAGTCTACGGATGGAGGGGTACTACATGCAATTGAGATGTGTGCTAGTGTCACTGAAACTGAGCTTTTTTACTAAACATTAGTTCGCATGTGCACAGATTTACAACCGGAAGCACCTTCGAATTGCAATCAAATGGGTTATTTCAAACTTAATGAGTTAGCCCTTCGGAGCATCCTGCCCAAAGCAGCGTGAGACCCCGAGCCTAACTAAGCTAATCTGACAAGTACAAACACGAGGAACACTGTCAGCATCAACGGAAATACACCGATAGGTAGTAGTGGTATTCTGCTGTCACATAACCACCGGACACGACAGATGAAACTAGAAGTGAAAATGAGAAGGACCCAAAGGAAGAATCGACGAATAATTAAACATCTCAGACAAGCATCCATGAACAAAACACCCACATCTTGCCAGTGACGCGTGGTCGCAAACCACTGGACATTGTGAACCCATAAGACAGCATTGGCTGAGTTTCAGTGGCATTCGCTGCCCTGTGTCAGTCTGATCAAACGTAACTCCGTACCATACACATTCTAACTAGGCAGTCTAGCTAGGAGATGACAAGAGTGGTAGCATAGACTCCAGCCTGAAGAGAGACAAGTTAATGGCACCCAATTTGGTTGTCGGGGACTTTGTTTTTAATCGCCAGGTCAACCTTGCGCTCATCGGGTATCACGCCTTCCTAGATAGGGTAAATTAAACAAGGCCCTCCTAGGTAAGCGATGAATGGCCAAATGTAGCGTGCACCTGGATCAACATGAGTTGTTCAAATTTACTCGTTGACGAACAAACCCGATAACTAAATGCTGTATATAATTGCGCACCTCGTCGTAACGATGTGGTGGCATCCGATAAGAGCAATACTCCACGGAAAATGGCACCTGGTATCCTCAGATATGAGTTCGGGTTTCAATAAGACGGAGAACGGACCCCACTGTGTTTTTAAGCGTTAGAAACACAACAACAACAATAAAACAACATAGTACATCAGCTGTTTGAACTAATGTTTCGTTGTCGTACAGCCACAATGACCAACGGAAAGGAGAACAATAAGAGGAAGACAAAGGGGGTTTACCGGAAAGCAATAAGCAACATTCAGGGTCAAGGCGCCTACGCCTTGTCAACAACATACCGTCACAAAAAACTGACCATCGTGCAAAGATAAGGCAGCATCAGCGAGACAGCTTTCTTGCGGTTTTCATTGTCCTGCGTCAAAACCATTACTTCGCGAATAACTCAGGATCAAACTTTAAACAAGCGGTCCGACAAGAAGACAAGAGCAGACGCACAACTCGTACCGAATGAAAGCCATGTTTTGTGACGTTTGAAGCAAAGCACAAGACAGGTCACCTGGACTCCAGCCTGGAAGGCGAGACAGACCGACGTCATCCAGTTTAGTCGTCAGTGATTTTATTTCCCGCTACCATGTTAACTTTCGCCCACCTCGAGCCTTGCGCCATCCTACCTCTGATAAACAAAACAAAGCCCTCCTCGGTAAGCGGTGACCGGGCATACGTAAAAGGTGCCCAAGTTAAGGTAGCTCGTTCAGTATTGTCTGTCATACTAAGGAACTAGCCTAGATCTCACTGTCTAGCACTCGCCTAAGCACAGCATCGTTGTAGACATGCCGGTGCCATCCGACACTGGCAATGCTTTTCTAACAGCGCTGATCAAAGGGGTCAAGTCACACTCCCATAGAGTAGGACGGCTCTCACCATGGTCTTGTAATCAAAACAATAATCAAAAGTTTACTGCAACAGCCTACAAAGGTTATTTAGTACATATGGTACAAGAAGTCGTGGCTCTAGGGGCCAACTCTGTCATTTGTAAAGTTTGCAACTTGCATGGTAGCGGAGGATGGTTTCACTATATTGCAGTTAGCTATCAGCTATGATGGTCTACTATCACAAACCATGCCAAAGGGCTTTAAGTCGAAGATATCAAGTGCTCATGGGCTAAGTACCTGATATGGCTCTCTAGAGGCTTTCCGGATGTGTGAGAGGATGTTTGATTGGAAGATGGCCTTGATGAACCAACACTAACTAATATCGAAAGACCGTGCTCAATTGCCAAACGTGTGGTGGATTGGTGAAGGCAGTAGTGGCTCTTGTAAATGCGCAATGATTTCAGAAATCGCTTGCCAGTCACGGCCAAAATAATCGTCAACATAGGAAGACTGGTCAATTAACCCTAGATCTTAAATGTCAAGCGGTCTTTCTCGCTTTGAAAGAGCACAGTAGACATTGAAGGATAGAATAACCCCGTAGGGCGAATTGGAATCTAAATGCGCCACAATAATATGATGCCGTCTACATAATCCGGATCAAGCCGTTTTCCTCAGTGCCTTTACCGCAAGACACCAGAGAGAAACAGTACCTGAAGGAAACCACGGTAGAAGTAAACAAGACTGGGAACATGGAGAAACCACGGAGAAAGTCGCTTGCCGTCGCCGCAGATCCGGATGCGACTTGTGGTGTTAAGATACAGGATAGGTACAATATATGCATATTTCATGGGAACATCTAGACAGGCATATCGAGGAGGGTGGAACGATCGACTGAGTCGAACACACTCTTGAAGTCGAAGTACACAACTGTACGTCCCCGTCCAGTATCAGTTTCTGCACGGGCTCGAGCATCACCAGCCAGTGTACGAGCATTTGCGATTGTATGAGAATGAAGCATCGAAATGAATCAGCGGTGCCCTGAAGTAAAAAGTCATCAGCAGTACGCTGGCACACCGTACCGCAGCTTCGCTGCCACGCGACCACCAGCCCCAGTCACGCGTGGGCTGAGTATATTGCGGACTGGAACCCGGGACCTAAGGATTGCAAGATAGGCGTGCAATCATTTCTGTCTTCGACCTACGGTGTACTGCCGACATCTTAGCACGCCTATCACAACAACAACATACAGTAATCAGGGTGCATTAAACCATTCGAGTTGAGCGCATAAATGGTAGGATCTGATGGACGGAGGAGTATGGCTGGTCATAAGCACAACGCAGAAATGATCCTGCTTGATTAGGTTCTACCTAGCTACCCGGACAGTAAAAACAAAATAATAAACAGCGCTTCTGGGCTTAAGGCAAACAACAAACCATTTGTTAAAGCTCAGAAATGCGTGTTGAAGCAACGGATTGCACTAGTAACACACAGACTAAATGCATGACGACATCCAAAACATTTTCCGCCCCATACATAGTAACCGCAAATAGATAAACACCGCTAACTAGAAATAATAAATGGGATTCAAATTAGATAGTTACCGTTCGTGAAGGACCAATAGGAGAAGATAAGGGGTCACGGAAGGGGAGGCGTTGGTGATGAAAAAACTTTGACGGACGTTCTATGCAAGTCAACTTAAACGGCGACGAAAGGTTTACGTATTTGGTAGGTAAATGTGGAACTCTTATCGGGGAATCACGGTATAGTGGAGAAAACCGACCGAATACAATGACACGTCACTACCATTATGTGATCCGGAAAACTGGGGTAGTTGGAGCGAACATGATGAACTCAAGTGTTCTGGGGTTTGTCGCTTAACCGCCATCTATATAATTTCCCGGCCAAGTTGTCCTCTTGGGCAACAGAAATCATCTGAGGGGGCATTCAACATGAGTCTACCCAATTAATTTGTTCCGTGCGTACGCCAGTCACTTGTGCAGGTGTGAGTGTATAGCCCGTCGCATTCAGCCAATTGGACCTCAGACGCACTAAGTCATAGGGGTGCAGATGGGACGCTTCAGCTCCTACGCACGGAACAAATTAATTGAGTAGACTCATGTTGAATGCCCCCTCAGATTATTTCTGTTGCCCAAGAGGACAACATGGCCGGGAAATGGTGTAGTAGTTCTATGGTGACCAGAATGAAGTTTGCAGTGGACAAAACTCGGTCATAGTACGTACCATATAAGGAATTAAAGTGATCAGAAGCTCTTGCCAGGAAACGCCAGAGAAATGAAATGTAGACAGCTTGGAAAAGAATGTGATGATGATGACAGTTTGGACACTGAAAGAAGCTTTATTTAAATATTGAGTATATTCGGCACTTGATTAAAAGAGCACCCTCTTTTAGCGATCAAAGCAAAAAGCAAGGTGCATCTGACGTTGTTTTGATGAAATAAGGAATGCCAAGCCGCAACGGAAAATCGCGGAAGTCTGTGTTTTCGTCTAGAATTCGATGTTCACGGAGGATGAGATGCCGAAACTCACAGGACAAAAGTACCAGCGCCACACGCATCAACTTCTCGTGAATGTATCTTCGTCTGTCGGAGGCGTCCCGATGACACTTAAGCTTTTCCATTAGCCGAGTGAAAATGGCTGCGGGAATGTAGAACTGCAACAGATAGCTGACCACGATAGCCAAGACGAATAGCGGTTTGACCGGACTGAACCAACTAAGTAGTGGGGAATAGAGGTAGAAAAGTATATTCATCTAGTAAGGGCAGAAAAAGTCATGATATGCAGGTTGAAAGTGGTGAATGGATGAAAAATGAACACGGAAGATGCTCCCGCGAAGTCTAGGTTGGCGGAAGAGTGGTTCAGGAGCAGAGGGATATGGCGATATAGAAGCCCCAGTAATTCGAGCCGGACAGAATGGTCCGATAAGTAGACGAAGCGGCCGTTAAACTGTCATGGTCATCAACAAAAACAGCAGCAGTTCGTACCGTTGCCACAATTTCATACAACTATTAATGGACCCATAGAGACGCGTGGTGAGATCAAAACGGACTCAGGTGCCTACGCCTGCTCAGCATCGTGCAGAACAAACACCGAGCTGTCGTGTAAAGGGCAAGTGACAGCAAGGTGACGACCAGCTTACATTCATTACCGTATGCCTAAATCGATTTTGCTTGACAGATAGCTCAACACCATACGCGCTTCAAACACGCAGTCCAGCTGAGGTCAAATGTCGGTAGCAACATATGTATGGAAGCCGAAATTGTAGGGATGCCAACCGACCTAATAGATGTAATCATGCACAGGTGACTGATAAGCGTAGAACAAGGAAATACGATTGGAACAGATGGAGGGTGAGTATGTAACACATACGTGATGTGGCCATCAGCAAAAGTAGTAACGGTGCAGACTGCCGTAGAAACAAGCTGTTAATAAACAAACGAATATGTCAGGATCGAGTTGTGTCGCTGAAGTAGCAGATGGAGACCGCCCGCAAGCCCTGGGCAATGCAAATCTGCTGAATTATGCCCAGCCCGGCGTCAACGGAGCATGAGGCATCAGGTGAGCGAATAATACTCAGAGATCCACTCAATATGCATGTAGGCCGGTAATGCAGTGGGGTTCAGACATCTGCCGTGTGATCTGCAGATCACCGGTTCGAGCCTGCGTAGGTGTGGGTGCGTTCGCAGTAGCTCCAACCTCAGGCAACTGATGGTGGCCAAATGGTAGCGAAGCGCCTGTATGAGGTACTGGCGTGCTGCCATGCGCAAGGATATTTTGTGCGGGACACTGGACCAGTAGTGCCCAAGCATCAAAGAGTCCACTGTGGATCGAATTGTGACCGATGGTGTCGTAACTTTTCGATACACGGAATCGCCAAGTCACTGTAAAATGATCGACGGGAATGGAGAAACTAGAAAGTAAGGCAAGCATCAGTAGACTGGTTTCAGACAGGCAAGTGATATGCGCAAGTGAAGAACCCGATCGGAAGTTCCAGTACTATGCGAAAACTGGAAAGCTGAATAAGCCAGTGGTAATAAGCGGACGTATTTTTACAAATGGAGAGTGGACATAGACTAAAATTCGGCTGCACCAAGAGATCCGACTATGTGGGAAAACGACTGCCCAGATTACAAACATTTGAGGATTCCGTTATAAAACGGCTTGAGATGGTCTTTGGTGGATCGACGATTTTTACGGGCAAAACTCACAGAATGCATAACAACGGAGCTCCAGTGAGGAAATGTAATTCTTTGCTAAAACCAATTATGGCTCCAGCTCCCGTGGTAGAAAGGAGACTTCAGAATTAAAGAAATATATGGAAAAGACCAGCAGCAAAAGTCGTGAGCCACGTACGAGATCATCAGCAAACTAGTTTCGGCAGAGATTTTCACCTTGTACTGGTCCACCATTCCAAGTGTAAATGGCAACTAATGAGGTCAGCTGAAGACCAAGTTGAGAGTGACGCATGCTGGGTCACTTTAGCGTTCACGTATGCCAGTTGTAAACAACCGAACAAGGTAAGCACGATCATAAGGTGAATTCATTCAATGTGATCGATGGTTGCAGTTACGTATCTTGGACATCTGATTGCAAACCTAGCTAGCGTCACAAAAGTACTTTCAGGAAGCGAAAGAAAGGAAAAGAAAAACAACCGATTTATTTTTAAACACACTGGCTTGAACGCTATGTGCAACAGTTTGACATGTAGCAAAGTAAGGTGGTGTCCCCCGTCTTCTAAGGCGCTTGAGTCAACCTGGAATGTGAACTCAACGCCTACCACCCGCGAATGGGTCTAATTCGAAGCGCAGTTACTGAAGCGTAACAAAAGCCCCGACCTTACGATTATTCAGCGCTGATGAAATACCATAGGCTCGCTACTTGTCGGCCCAGCTACTCTACTGAATATGATGAGTTGAGAGAGGAGCTTACAAAATGATGACTGACAATAACCACCCTCATTTTAAAAGTGTCGAACGTTATGCGAGAGGTAAGGAGGGAACAACCTTAATGTCGAAGTTCTTACCTGTATCATACTCCGGTGGCTCACTGGTCCTCGCAAAGTCAAACCAGTGAAAGCCAGCCAAGCGTTACATCCCGGTAGAGGAAGGAGTGACTGTTAGATCTTCACATTTTCTCGCTATTCCGAATTAACCACCCAAAAATTTTAGCCCAGCCGGAGAAAAATCAAAAGTCCAACGATCTTTACCACGAAAAACGTGTTAACAAAAACGCCGCCAACGTAGCCAAAAATGCCGCCAAACCGCTGTACTACTACGCCAAATAAACAGGGGGCTCAATGACCGGCTTCTAGAAAACGAAGGTCAACTGGTAAAATTAGTAGCCTCCCGGCCAATACTACGTATGCTGGCGATCACGTGAAGGGATAGAAGGTTCCGGAATTTTCGAAATCAATGCACGATCGGAGATAATCGATTAATTGCTGGAATAATGGTTTTCCTTTATGTTTTTACCTTTTCCCGGATAGTGACGACAATTACGCGATTCCTCGAGTGCTTACACTTCATCCATACAGGTCAATGAGACTCACCATAACTAGATATTGGATGCTTGGATCGTCTCTGTCTGCGGGGATATTGATTCGTGTTGTGCATACGAAAGATTCACTTCAATTCGGAGGTCGCTGTGCCGACAGTCTCGAAGCTAATTGGAGGGTTTACAGGAAACTATACCCTGAAATTAGCATGTCAAGCAGACCTGTTGGAGCCGCGCTATCTCAACTCACGTTTTCAACTAAATGATAGAAAGATGACTGGCAGACTGAATTCCACAAGATTAGCGGTTCGTTTAGAAGACAGACTGTGAAAGGAGTGTGCTATCAGAGTAGGCAGACAGATGCAAGGAAAGGGTCAGATGACCAAAGGAAGACAAACTTGGCGGATACAGCAGACCTAGTCATTAATCCGCACAGCTCCGCTGATTGGTGCCATATCGAAACCTTAACCTCATAGGCCTAGAAGCGTCGCGATTAGTGGAAGAGCACGAGCAGTATGCATCGAGGCATTCTACAGGCCAACTGCGTCGTAATTTTCGCTGACTTGTCCTTGATAAATAAACCACCTGTTCCTACAGTAACGACTTTAGTGTGGTCGGTTTCCGGAGTCAAATTAAGCTCACGGGATCGGACCGACTGCCGATAGAAGAACGTAAGCATAGATTACCTCTGAGCCTTGTACGCTTAGATATGAGCCTCATTGTTCGAAGCGTAAGGCGTTATTGCAAAACTAGACAGAAATGGGGCTTTTTTACACCGCCAACGAGCAGTTACTGGGTACTGTCTATTAGATCACATGTCGAGGCAATTATTCCACAAAGGGAATGCAAAACGTCAAAGTTGCTGCGCTCATCACTTAGGTCCACGGAACTTTCAAAATCATATACGAGATGGAACCGAATAATTCACACCATGTACTGGAACACATGACTCATGATATTCGTGGGTCCAAAAGATCACGGCATAGGCGTGAATAATAAAAAAGCAAAGCTCGCGACGTCCGTGTGATGTCTGAGAAGGAACTGCGGAGACAAAATGTACTTAAACAAGCCAAAGTTCATCCTGCGTGAAACGAAAAATCCGACATAAACAGGTGAAGAGACAAACCATTCTCTGGTGTCCAGCTATACAACTCAATGTTCAAGCGGAAAAAAACAAAAAGACAAAGAGGGAAATTCCGTCACGGAGAGGTGCGGCCTCGCTGCCGCATTGAGTACACCTGGTACGCACAGCTCCGCAAAAACGTGTGATTAAGTTATCAGTGGGAACAGATCTCGCAGGAGACGGAAGATAATTGAGGAAGGGCATGCACACAAAGCACAGGTGACCCCGAAGTAGTGTCACGGGAACTGATCTATCAATGAGTCATGCGTGCTGCATGAAGTTTCGTGAGCCTCGATAAAATTGTGTCTCTTAGTTGCAGAACTCCGGGCTTAAGTGTTTATGGAATGCATCGGATGTGATGTGTGGGTTTGCAATTGATAGGGTGGCGGTCGTGTCGTGTTGCAGCTGCATGTAAACGGTGGGAAAGATCAATACGAAGAGATTGATTATACTAAAAGCGGCCTAACACTAACAACAATGTTTACCAGTTTAAATAGGTTAGAACGGAAGTAATATAGTGGTTTATGCGGTGCCGGCCCTTGGGAAAGGGAATGGACATGAACATAGCGGACCCAACTATCTGTGTCCTCAAGCAATAAAAGCTGATTAACAGAAAGAGGTGATTATCAAGAAGTAAGTGGATAGAGAAACCAGTGGAAACCGATAATCAATCTTAATAAAACCAATCCTGCAGCATAGCAAGGCCCAACGAAAGTAATGGGTGCGGTCGAGACAGTCTGTCACCAACCTACTGGGAAAGACCGATAACAATGGTCAAACTCTAGTTATCACCACACAATGTGGAATGTAAGACATTAGAATTGCAGAAACTCAAGTGGCTTTGTTCGTTTTGCTAAGCTTGTAAATCATTATGAGTTGCATATTTACAAAAGAGGAAGTTAGATGTTTGTGAGTAGGGTAAAGATTGTAGAAAGTAGAAGTCACGATTAAAATTCACGCACAATAATGTGCCTCGACGGGGAATCGAACCCCGGTCCACGAATTTCCGGTCCGCTGCTCTACCACTGAGCTACCGAGGACTGACGATTAGGTGTGCAAATTTTAACACATGACTTCTGCTTAGTGCGCGACGTATTGCCAATGGGCTCACAGTACCTGTCCTGGTGTTGCAGATTGGCTCACTCACCCGTCACTTCCCAATGGGCTGAAGTATCTGTCCTTCGAATGTCCAATGGGCGATAGGACAGGTACTGTGAGCCCATTGGCAATACGTCGCGCACCAAGCAGAAGTCATGTGTTAAAATTTGCACATCTAATCGTCAGCCCTCGGTAGCTCAGTGGTAGAGCAGCGGACCGGAAATTCGTGGACCGGGGTTCGATTCCCCGTCGAGGCACATTATTGTGCGTGAATTTTAATCGTGACTTCTACTTTCTACAAAAGAGGAAGTGTGAACAAAACGTGGAAATGGTAAGCACAGAAAATACAAAGCGTAAAAAAACAACGAAGCTATTGAGAGTAATGGAACATGACCAAAGTAAAACCTAACGGTGATGATGATGTGTGAGCACATACTAGGGGTCCTCTGGAATGTTTAAAGTAATTGTTCCCTGGGCATCTTCACCGAACCTAAGGAATCCGAAAAATCCAAAAGCGACGTTCAAGCACACCACAACTGTCATACCCACATTGAGCACACCGAAGGGATGAGTGAAATTGGAAGGGTTGGCCATTTTGCTTTCGATTGGCAACACCTAGAAAACAAGATGGATCGGTAGATGAAAAGGCATGATCACGTTTAGAGAGCGGGAAGCAGTGATAGAGGAGCCGAAAATGCAAGTGCCGGGATACCGACGCAAAAGAGGTCTGCACCGGAGATATGCAACAGCAATGATCTAGTGTTGGGTTTGTTAGAAAAGTCACTCGGACATCGATGAATCCCGAGCAACATAATTTAGGTACTCGATCAATAGATCCGACAAGAATAACTAGGCCAATAAACGAATCCACTACCCCAATCGGTCCCAAGGTGGGTGTGGGAACGGTCACGAGTTGCCCTGAAGTCGGTTGAATACTTTAATGTCTGGGAACGAGGGAGGAGCCCGGTTTAGATGAAAGCAGCAATAAAACTACTAATCCCATCACACTTCGCGCTGGCATCTAACACTTAAGTGAAGACAGCTAAATAGAACAGTGAGCGCACGACAGGACTGCGAAGACTACTACCACACAAGTTCAACTGAACAAGTATGATCCAGGCATCAAAGTGCAGTGGATTCAATTGCCACAATTCACGTCGTCGGAATAGCAACGAATAACCGGTGAGAAAATGAGATTGAAAGCAAATAGAATATCAAGAAAGTGGAGTCGAGGAGGAAGAGCAAAAACGAATCGGAATGAAATGAAAGTTAACAGTTAGTTGTGAGAAACCTAATACATGAACGCGACTGACTGCATCATGGTGTGCATCATCCCGGCATGTATTTACCGGACCAAGCCTCTCAGCTTACTTCTTCATGGTTTTATGCTATGCATCGACTGGCCACCTCGCGGTTTCGCCCAACTTGGTGCAGCGACAGCCAAGTTGATACATGCCGAGGAAGCCGGTCAACGGGCATACGGTGTGAGGAGCTGCACGCTTCATGAACACTTCGAACGCATTGCCGAGAACAAACGTTTATGGATTTTTTACTTGTACTCCTCGAATGTTTGTACAAACGGAAACAAACAACCGCCAGACCACATCTCATTCTAGAGAAACATATAACATTTACTCATTATAGTTTCCATTCTATTCCATTATTTTTATTTTCTTTACATGGTTGGACACGACTGGGCCGATCTCCTGAGGTGAAGGATTGAAGCTTCCAATATAAACAATTGCACCTAGGCAAGAGGAATTGACACAGATCCACTGGCGAGAAAAAAGGTGATCGACTTAAAAACGAGTCTACATGTCAATGGCTTAGTACATGTTACGGCGGCCATAAAACAAGTAGCATCATTATGATGGCTTATTGGTTAGAACGCCAAAAAACCCAGTCAACATGATGACGGCTTACTTGCCTTTAATTCAACATCAGCACATGACCAGATGAGGCGCGGAAGTGCGGGTGAAACCTCTCGTGGGACTATCCTGCATGGAAGCAGGTCCCCAGGAGAGACGGTTCCACGTATGATCGTAGTACTTTACTTGAACTGTTGGCTATGACAACATTTATTCCTATGCGCTACTTTCAACATGTTTATTACTCTTAAATGATTGAATATCGCAAAACTTCTCTAGGATGCGCTACGTAAAATTCAAAAATATTTCACTACCACTTGACTATGTTGTGTATGATGATCAGACGACGCAGTTGGTCTCTGTCTCGCGCAGTCGAGAAATATGCCATTTATTAATTTATTACTTACTTAGTCAACGTAAGCGGTTGAGCACAAGCAAACACTCGAGTGGTACATCAGAAGGCTTTTTGCACAAAACCGACTGGCGGGACTCAACATTGTTCACCCGGCGTACCCAAAAGTGGACACGAAAAACTAACCACACGAGAAGCATAGAGGTGAAATGTGACAATGGTCAGTGGTATGTTGGGGAGAAAAAACGCCAACGCTTTAAATATCTAGTCGGGCAGTTGATTTCGAGTTGCGAACAGAAAAGAACAGCTAGTAACAGTGAGCTAGCCGACTAAACTTTGGTCCGACTGCATTGTTCACATAAAGCAGGATGCAATTAATAAGGCTGACACATTTGGCTTACTTAACAAAACAAGTGTGTTTGTTCGTTTTGGTTTCTGATGTTCATATGGGTCATACGAGTGTACGAGACGATGAGAGGAAGCAAGTTTACTGCCGACAAGGTCACTAAACACGGTTAATGTTGGGGCAAAAATAACAGATTCCGAGAGGACATCTCAGGTGCGGTAAAACTGCAGCAAGAGGAAGTCTCGACCGCGATGCAAGTGCCTAAACTGCCCTACTAATATTATGACCGAGCTTTAGGAGGTAATAACACACGTGTTTAGTCACTTAAAAGTTTGTAAACAATAATGTCACCAAGCAAAGATCCAAATCGTTCACTGAAAATCCCTAGCAATTACAGTCCCTACATGTAGGATAAATGTCACATTGTCAGAATCTCCAAAAGGTGTCATCCACTTGTAGTAATGGGCGAAAGCGTATGCATACAGAGAGCAGTTTGGGGAAATAGTTAAGGAGGTGGAATGCTCTCCGAAATAGTCCCACTTTTTGAATGCCCATTTTCTGACTCCCCCAACGATCATTACGAGCGGCGGACATATTTTTTCACAGATCTTAGTTACCCAGTTTATAAGGAGGGCCACACGGTGTAGAAAACAAAGCACTCTATATTTGAATTGCAGAAGATACTGGAGTGATGATTCATAAACTTTATCGAGATCGGCTTACAGTCACATGCGATCGTCTGGTGCTTTGATCGCACAAACGGTTCGAAGTGGTTAAAGCTGTTAGATCGTAAATAATGTATGTATGTATGTAATCTCAGCAGTCTAGTAACTAGACATAGAGCCAATAAAAAACCATGGAAATCAGTGGATAGGAGAGTCATTGCGTTATAATCATCGTGGCATGCTAGTTGAAGGTGGGCAACACACTTCAGCTAATATGCCGCAAGAAAATAGAATATTTTGGCAAAAATACAGAACAAAACATTTTTAGTTTGTTTGTCACACGCCGATTTTTCTCTTTTTTTGTCATTTTCAATATTAGTAAAATTAAACATGTGAATCAATACAACACTGTACACAATTCTTCCACTGATTCCGGTTGCGGGCCATGTCTTCAAGAGTCCTAAGCCATTGGCACTCCTCATCTTTGGGTCCCCATCCTGGAAGACGTACGGGTCCAACAGCAGCTAGACGCGACGTCAGCGATTTCATGTGCTGCCGCCAAGTGGAAGGCTGACCACCACGCGGTCGCTTCCAGCCAGGTCCTTGACGAGCGAATAGAGCGCGACGCGGTAGACGCTCAGGTGCCATGCGTAGGACATGACCGAGCCATCTTAACTGGCGCAACAAAACCAGTTTGTTGAAGGAAATACTTGCATTCCCCAAGATGCGACGTCGAACGTCATTACTGGAAACTCGATGTTGCCACCGGACACGAGCGATCCTCCTTAAACAACCGTTATCGAACGCAGAAAGACGACGCATGTCTTCCACGCGAATCGGCCAGGACTCGCTCCCATACAACAATACTGAGCGAACTGACGCGCTGTAAACTCGGCCCTTTAGTGAGAATGAGACGTCGCGACGACGCCACAAGTGCCTCAGATTGACAAATGCTGATCGAGCTTTAGCGATACGAAGCGAAACTTCTTTGCTGATAGTGCCGTCAGCGGAAACACAGCTCCCAAGGTAGACGAAACTATCTACCTGTTCAAGTTGTGCACCTTGGAGAGTGAGCACGGGTGCAGGTGAAAGCCAATCCTTGAGCAGTACTTTACACTTCGATGGGGCAAAGCTCATGCCATACTTAGATGCTTCAACCGCCAAACGATCCAGAATGAGTTGCATACCCTGAGGATCGTCACCAAGTAAGGCGATATCATCAGCATAATCTAAGTCGGTCGCGCGTTCACCCGGTAGAAGCTCTAGGCCAAAATGTTGGAAACCTTCTAGGGCATTCGACAGAACGTCTTCGATTGCGAAGTTGAAGAGGAATGGGGACATAGGGCAGCCCTGTCGCACACCGCTATTGACAGCGAATTGCGAGGAAAGCTTGCCATAGACCCTCACTCTGCCGCATGTATGAAAGTAAAGTGCTCGTAAGATGGCGGTATATTTCTCTGGCACCCCGTTCTTTAGTAAGCAACGCCATAAAGCAGGTCGATCAACGGAGTCAAAAGCGGCACGTATGTCTAAGAATGCAACGATAGTGGGCCTGTGATAAATGTGGCGATGTTCGAGGAGTTGGCGGAGCGTGAAGATTTGATCCACGCATCCGCGGCCAGGACGGAAACCAGCTTGTTCTTCACGGTAGTATGATTCACGTACTGGGGATAGTCTACGAAGTAGAATGGATGCCAACAACTTAGAGGCAACCGAAATAAGACTAATCCCGCGATGATTTGCACATGAAGTGCGAGCACCTTTCTTGAAAATTGGGACAATAATTGATTCGCCCCAAGAGGAAAGGCACTTTCTCTTCATGCCAAACTTTTGCGAACAGCGCGGTTAACTGGTTAATGACTGCCACACCGCCATACTTGAATAGCCCCGGAGGAAGTCCGTTTAAGCCGACAGCCTTGAAGCGCTTCAAGCGTCGAATCTCGAGGCAGACTTCTGCTTCGCTGGGTGGATTCAATGGGACGAGCCAGGGTGGACAGCAAGGTGTACTGCATGTACTGATGGATGGTGGAGGCCAGTTGAACTGCGAGTGAAAGTGCTCGGCCCAGCGGTCCATACGCCTCTGTTGGTTGGTGATCGGAGACTCATCCAGCTCACAAATGACCTCACTGACACCAGGCTTCCTGAGGCCAGTGGACCGGATGAGTTGGAAAAGCCTACGAGTGTTACCAGTGAGGGCAGCAGTCTCCATCTCTAAAGCACGCTCAGACCACCATGTTTCGCGATCCTTGCGTAGGCTTTGCTTAAGCAGCCGGTTGGTAGAACGGCGCCGCTCGTTGCAATCTGGTTCCGCGGGGATATCTTTGCGGCGTTCGAACAGCTCCAGAGAACGAGCAGAGATCCAAGACTTCAAAGGGCGTCGAGTT